GTCACAGCCCCTCGTTTGTTGTCCTCTTCTCTCTCTCTGCCTACGGTTTACCGGGCAGTTCTGTTTGTGACGATATATAGCAAACAAAAAATATATAGCAAACAAGCACAAAATACATAGCAAGCGAAAAATATATAGCGAACCAAAACATATATAGCAAACCAAAAATATATATAGTGAACCAAAAAATACATAGCAAGCAAAAAATATGTAGCGAACCAAAAAAATATATAGCAAACAAAAATCTATAGTGAACCAAAAAATACATAGGGAACAAAACCCCACTCCCTGACCACTGCCGATTAGGGCGGGGGACAGCGTGCATCCCCTTGGTTGTTAGAGGGAGTAGCTGTGCTTGCGGAGGTCCCCAGCGGCAAGGTCCCACTTGCAAGGAGGATTGGATCAAAGGCCTGGATCTGGACGTATTTTATGCAGAGATGCAGAAAACGGCAGATCAATCCCCATTTTACGCACCTCTCCGCAAACCCGTCCAGATCCAGGCACTGAATTCAATCCTCTTGTTAGTAGGGCCTCGACCCCGCATAGGCCTAGGAGGAGCGATGGATGGGTAGGCAGTGAAACGTGAAATTGAGAGAAGATCATCATAGCTTATTTTTAAAATATAGATAAATCATAAATATATGAGGAAGTTCAACAAACAAAAAACGTACAAGACGTATATGAGGAAACAAAAAAATATATATCTTTATAAATATTTTAAAAATATTTATGCATATTTTAAATACTCATAAATATATGAGAAAGTTCAAGAAACAAAAAACATAAAAGACATGAGGAAACAAAATAAACAAAATATTTATAAATATTTTAAAAATATTTATGTACTTTTTAAATATACATAAATATGAGAAAGTTCAAGAGACATATGAGGAAACAAAATAAACAAAAGCAAGCTTGCGCCCGCCGCCCCCCCCCCCAAAAAAAAAAAAAAAAAACCTACCTTCAGATTATATACAGCCGATACAAGCCTTAAGCAAAAAATATTAAACAAAATCTGGAAAAATATCGAAAAGAAAAAAAGGGAAACTTACTCGTTGATCGTCTTTAATACTAGGTGTTCGGAACCCATCACAGGGAAAAATGTCGAAAAACAAAAAGGGAAACTTACTCGTTGATCGCCTTTAATACTAGGTGTCCGATCTCAAAAAAAAAAAAAAAAAAAAAAAAAAAAAAAGAGGCCTAGGTGTTCGGACCCCATCACAGGAATAATTCGATTCAAGACATTGATCTCCGTGAACGGAAAGAGAAGGCGGGAAGACTGGCTCAGGTACAGTTTGATAATTTCTGGCTAAGGAACAGAGGGGTGGGGAAGTTCTCAGGGCGTGCTCACACTAGCCCTTTACTGAATGCATCGAACCGCAATCACGGCCAGACCTGGATGCATCTGACCGCAATCACGTCATCAGCTCAGTCGAAAACGTCCCTAGTGTGAGTATGCCCTCAGTTAAGCGAGCGAAAGGAGTGTGAGGTCAATCCCCTCTGGTGGAGGATAACCGTCACTAATCAATACTTTTTTTTTTCTTTATTCTTTTTTCTTTATTCGTTTTTCTTTTTCCTTTCTTTTTTTTGCTGTGCTCGACTGGTCAATGTTCTGCAATACGAGCTTGTACAATTGAGTTGAAGAAGAAAGACAAGCAATGCAGTAAGATGCATGCGAGCGTGTTCTCATGCCTTGGGATTTTATTTTTATTTTTTTGAGAGTGGAATCCTGGAGAAAACCAGTGCTGCGTTTTTTTTTTTTTTTTTTTTTTACCTTTTACTGTGCTCGACGGGTCAATTTCTGCAATACAAACTTGACACGATGAATATATATACATAATACATATATATCGTCAACATATATACATACTATATATACGTTGTATGCTCTGTCATTCTATTCAACTTTATATATTCATATGTAAATACGAAACTATACATACATAAATAGATAAAAGTATTTTTTTTTAACGCAAAGAGCCCAAAAACTTACTCGTGAATAGCCTTGAGGTTATGTACAGCCGACACCAGCGTCGTTTTTCCTATTCCTCCCATCCCCAGGACTCCTAGGATCTTCTTTTCTTTTGTCGGTGCACTTGCACCTTGCCACGCTTCCGTCCTGGTTCCCCCCCTTCCTTGCCATGCTTGGGTCCTCGTTGCCCCCCCCCCCCCT